AATAACAAACACAAACACAAGGAAATGATCACGGAGGTCAGTCCTTCCGACCTACGTCTTCGTTCCCTACTCCCTGGGAGAATCCACTATCACAATTGGGTTTTCAGCGTTCACCCAAAAACGTTTACACCTCACAATATCGGTTTTTAACGTTCACCAATCAACGTTCACAATCACTCACAATGTAACTACACAACTACCACCTCAAGTGTTGGCCTCTCACGTGTCTCCCTCAAGTGCTCAGAATTACTACCTCTCATTAGTATTTACTACCGACATCACTCCTCTTAGGACCGACCACGTCTCTCACCTCTACACTCCTCTTGATTTACTTGTGCAATACAATGTGACCTCACAAATGAAAGCTCACTAATACAAATAATTTGTTCTCTACAATGGATGAGAACTCTATGTAAGCTCACTCTCAAAGATACACTCCCCACAACCTAAATATACACAATGTGATAATACTAGAAGCTCAATGGTTGTGTGTGTAAACAACGAGAAATAATCAAAACTAAACTCAATATGAAAATCTAGCTTATAGAAATAATAATCAACAATAAATATAAATGAAGCTAGAAATTGAGTTTAGAAAAACTTCTCTAATGAACAAGAGAGAGAGATTTGAAGATTGAAAGCCCAAACAAAAATGATCTCCTCTTGTGAAACCTTCTTCACATAAACCCTCTTGAAAACAAACTTAAAATCAAACACTTGTAAACTTGTTTTGAAACTCTCTTAAACATTCATATGAAACAATGAAAATTGGGGGCTTTTTATAGCCTCTTAAACCAGCCAAAACCCACCCAAAAACTCACAAAAACAAAAAGTAGCCGTTATTGGCTAAAAAGGTCATCAGTTAACTGATGATAACATCAGTCGACTGATGAAGTCGAGCGTTGACAGTTTTGGCAGATTCTGGAATTTTTGCATATATTTCTTTGTAAAATCAATTAAAAATAGTAAATCAACTCTATAAATCATGAAATTTTGAGAGAGGTTTCTATACATGTATATGAATATTTTAGAGAAAGAATTTTTGAAATATAACTATCCATTTGTGATAAATAAATATTTAAACACAGATATTTCAGATTCTAAAAACTGCTGAAACACCCGATTTTGTAAAATCAATTCAGCATGGTAAATCAATTCCAAAAATTATAAAATTTTGGAAAACATTTGTAAACATGTCATAGAACATGTTAGAAAAATAATTTATCAAATTTCATTTTCTATTTGTGAGATATCATTTATTTTTTAAACCATTCAAAACATAAAAACTTAACAACACATGTTTTTGACAAAACGACTTCAAACAAGTTTTAAACTTCTTTTAAATGGATTAATGTACTTTATAAAAGATATACAATAGTGTAAATAAGTATTTAATCCATAAACACATAATTTTTCAAATAAACATCTTTAATCCATCAATGAAATCATGTTTATTTGCATGTATAGATATGAAACAAATATGTGTATATATATAACTATATCCATTTGTTATATATATATATATATATATATATATATATATATATATATATATGGCTAAACATATTGCTAAACAAAATTGATAAATATGAAACATGGATATATGTAAACAAGTATATATGTTTCATATTTATAAAAACGTGAAAACTATAAAACTAAAAACGATGTGTGTGTAATATGATTGAGCTTAAAGTACCAACACACAAAGCATAAACCTAAAACATTATACCCAAGCTATGAGATCTTCAATATGCTTTACTTGGTTACGGATGAAGCTTGATCTTGAATATGAATTGATGTGTAATGGTTTCATACCGATATTTCGCCAACCTCCAGGTCATGTGATCGTTTAGCTCAATTCCATCCAACCTCCTACTCATTGTTTCGCTACAATAAATAAAAAAACACAAACACTAGACAAACAATATTAGTTATGAATTATTTGTTAAAATATCATAAAATCAAAAAGGCCAACATTATTGATAACGCAGCTAACTGGTGGATCTGGATCATCAATGGAAGTTTCTGAAATTGAACAATATTTAACTGTATCTTTAGTTAAAAGTCAAAATAATAGTTTTAATATTTTGCAATGGCGGAGAGTATATAATAGTTTTGATATTTTGCAATGGTGGACAGTATATGGAACAATTTCATATCCTATACTTTCCATCATGTCTCGTGACTTACTAACGGTGCAAGTTTTCACGGTAGCTTCGAAATTCGTCTTCAGCACATCAGGACGTTTGATCGATGACCACAGAACATCGTTAGATCCATCTACCGCACAAGCGGTGATGTGCCTATAAGATTGGTGGATGTACGAGAAGAGAACTCAATGGATTGATCGGATGGCTAGTATTAAAGATGAACTTAAATAGTTGGAAATAGGAGATAAAGATAAAGAGTAAAAATTATTCATTAGTTTGTAATTTTTATTTCTTAGCTGAAAATTTATGATAAATTATTTTAGAAAGAGTTACAACTAATAGTGATATAGATGAGTATGTGCTAACATAGTTGGGATGTATACATCTATTGTGATGCGATAAATTCCAAAATAAATTTATAATTGTTAGTGCTTAACTGATTATTAATAAAGAATTTATTTTTATCATTTTAATTTCTATGTTTTTTGTATTTGTAAATTATATAATTACAAATGGTTAATAATATGATTGATTTTTTATCAAAATTTTGCTTAATTTATTTTGTTATTTACTCTTAAAAAAATTTTAACAAAAAAAAATAAAAAATAAAAAAAAGAAATGACTAGCCCAGCCCGGTGTCTGGCCCGCTCGGGCCCGGACCACGGGTTTTGCCCGGCCCAGGCCCAGTTTGTCGAGCCGGCCCGTTGGGATAGGCCTACCCGTGCGGCCATTCAGTCTTTAAACAAGATTGTTAATGGAGAACTCATATCCCTCTCGGAACGACTATGACTTTGTGAATGTGTTGTTTGATGAGAACAAAGGTGGTTCCGTGCGTGTGGCTTTCTTGTATGCAATCATGTTTGGGATTGGACTGGAAAAAGATTATCCATACGAGGGTAAAAGAAACGGAAATTTCTTCAAGTGTGGATCAGAAGATGGGATTTTACCGAAGATTTTCTTCAATTGTGCGTGTATACAGTATGGAAAAAGAAGGGTTTTAATTGGTTCAATGGCAAGAGGAATTGAAAACAATGAATAAGAGCTGATGAAATTGGCATGCATGCTGATGATAAATTCAATAAATACGTAGGGGTTAGTAGACCTAACACCAGTTTTGCTTATTATTATTATTATCATTATATTGTTTTTTTTTTTTTTTATCAATGAGTAAATTTTTTCCATTCACCAAATGAGCATTTATGTACATCAATCACTCAGGCATACCTGAGTATGCACTATGTAGAAAGGTATAGAACTAGAAAACAACTAAAACAGAATTGAATTTACAAAATAGCAATCCACATCATGAATTTATCAGGGATTGGATTACCATAGATAGATCACTGAAGGAATAGAAAACTTGGTCTTCAAACCTGCTCTATTATCAAATCTATGATTTTTCTCTGCCCAGATGCCGATAAGTAGTAACCACAAATGCAAATCTATAAACCATATTCCCGTAGTCTCTTCTCGGCAAGCTTTTGATTCAAACACTGATCTGAAACACAACACCCCATGAGCAGCTACTCATATCGAACCCCATCCATCTCATTACATCATTAATTCCAAACTTCTGATGAAAATACGCAATAAAAAAGTAGATGACTATGTGTTTCCCATGAGCCATCAACCAGAAGAACAAATGAAGTTTTAGGCTCCAAACTTTCTTGTACCACTCTAACCTCCTGCATATGAGGCATCAGTTCATGGTAGGCTTTTAGAAATCTTAACTTCGTCACCACCCATACTCCATTCTTGCTTTTTAGCTATCGGATTACCCTTCGAACCAAAAGCAGCAATTGCATCATCTCTGGCATTTAACACCTGCTCCCCTGGGACGCGTTTGTTTCCTATGGACTCTCCATATATCTTCTCTTCGTAAATAATTCCCATGCGCCCATTTAATCCGTAATATTTCCTTCCTAGTATGAATAGCCGAAATGGTCTTCAAAGCTATACAACAAAGCTCCACTGAACTGCTGAGTAGACCCCTGGCCCTTCACGCTTTTTTGCTTTGGCAAATGCAAACCCAAGCTACGAGAGCCGGTTTCGTAGAATCATGAGCCATTTTTATAGCTTAGTTTAATTGAAGCAGATTTTTAAGGAAACCAATAACTTATTCTATAGGGGAATAGTTGCTCTGCAAATTAGTCTTTTTTTGAGATGCAATTAATATACGTTTGGATAGAGTTCTTGATCCCCATCCATTTGGAACAACACTTTACGTCCCCCTTTTTAACTCCGTAGAAAATGATGCGGAGGAGACCAAATGATAGAGAATGAATAAGATCAAGATGTACACCCCCATATAACATCATTTACATCTCTTCTCTATTCAGTAAATATTAGAAAAAAAATCAAGCAATATATTGCATTTGAACGCTCCATGTTTACTAAAGGAAAGAGTTGCACTTGCACGCCACAGATGCATACGACATACAAGTTTTGATATAGTTATTGATCCCAATCCATTTGGAATATGACATTTAGGCTGCTAAATTTTGGAAACATACAATAATGTTTCCCCAATAGAGATCTCATTACCTTGAATGCAAGCGCATCATTCTTAGCCATACAAAAGAACAATGAAATCCTAAATTGGTCCCTGCCTCTTCTGAAAGAACAACTCACTCACATGTATGATGCTCTGATAACATATACTTCTAATCCCGCAACGAATCATAACTTTGGCCTGTGACTTTCAATTACTTCACTCAAGCAAAGGTATGTTTGATAAACAAGGCAACATTTTTACACATGCAAGAAAACAATCCTGGCCAAGCTCAGCAATCATTCGCAGTCGAGAAATCACAAGAAGTTCAAGAATATATTTTTTGTTAACGCAAGAAATAACCAACTATAAAAGATCGGAATTTAAGTTTTATGATGGAAACTACAAAGCAGCAATAAGTTAAAACAGCAGTAGCTTGTAAAATTCTTCCTCCGTGTTTGTAAGCCTATTTCTAGTTTTCGCACTTCCTGAAGAATTTAAAAAAAAATACAGAAACTCCCCAGTTCAAATTCGTTGCTCCGAGCATAGAAAACACTTAATGGAATGTCACAAAGCGCGGCATCAAATGCGTTCTTTCTTGCACTTTTTTGTGCTGTAATGAACTGTTACAGAGAGATGGCAAGGAATAGATGATACAGAAAACACAAGCTCATGAGGCCACAAGGTCAGGTGTTTCTGCCTCAACCGATAACAAAGCTGTGTGTACTTTGTCTAGCCAGCCGTCCAAACGATCTTTCAGCGATTTTACCTGGGCTATCCCCAAAACCCTAGGCTGCACCCACGAGACATGGACCGTTCCCTCAACCTGATCTATGATTCCTTCAATTAGGTGTACCTGTATACATAATACTCATTTCACCTATGCCACAACATAGAATATGTAACAAATTCAAGATAGTATTCCAAATAATGACAAACTAAGAAATAATACGAAAGAAATAATAATAAGGTTCATCTTAGATAAAAAAAACCATGACATAATTGTGGAATATGATGAAGTCATGTATAACAAATCACTCAGGACTGCATACAAAAAAGATAGTCATATTCCTTAGCTCAGGTTATCATGGATCACAGAATGGCTAAGCATAAGACCTAGAATACCATTCTTCAAGTGGGAACCTGTCTTACCGGTCTCACAAATTAAGCCTACGTAATGAGGGACAAACTCCCAAAATTATCAAAACAAAGAAAGGATACTATCAGTGAGTCAGTAACAAAACATTTCAGCTAACCCCAGTAGCTATTTGCTTCTCATTCTCACCTTACTTTTTAGATCACCACTCCACCTAAACATATGCCAACAGTAGAATTGATTCATAAAAAAATAGCATGATTATGAGTAACCCTTACAGAGAGACTTTTCATGAGAAGATACTCCACGTCTTCCACTGAAAGATTAGTTTGTTCAGCAATGACACTCAACGGGATGGTCCTGTCTTCAGAGGGGCGACTGCAAGAAACAGGAATTTCCAACTTAAAGTCAAATGATAATATAAATAGAAAGTAGAAGTTATAGGAGCAAGCGACACCAGAATTTGAGAACCTGTAATCAATTAGGCTTCTAATCCAATTGAGAAAATCTTACCTGAATATGATCTCCATTAAACAGAGAATGTTAATTTTTTCCAGCAGCTTCTTTTCATTTTCCACCAGTGCCGGCTGAGCACTCAAAGCAGCATTATGAACTCGACACAGTTCTTGATAGCGAAGTAAATTGCCAGTATTAAATGCCTGAAGTATGTAGTAAAGCCACTCGACTTTGGTTCCAAGAAGACTATTGATCTGCAAGTTGAAATCTTAAAATATATAACACTGGAAAGATACCTCTATATAAGCAAATCATAATGGAAAACGAAACAAATAAAAGCATGTTTTCTCATGAGATTGCATAAAGATGGAAATAAATTACAAGGAGGAAATACTATCTACACTAGTATAGAAAGAACAAGCAAGGGGTAGAAATAAAATGGATAAGGGTTGGAGCCTACATAATTGTTTGAAAAAGGGTAAAATTGTAATTTTACAAAGGATAATTTTTTCTCTTTTCAATTTTCTTTCTTTCTAGAACATTCTATGTAATTTAATAAAGAATAATTTGTTTCACTTTTCTATCTCATTTCTTTCTAGAACATTATATGTCACTCAAATGCCATGAAATAAAAATGGAGCCTACATAATTGAATATTGTTTAAATATTTTATTTTACAAAATATAGAAAGTGTGTGCGTGTGTGACAAAAATGAGTACATTTGGTACCAAGCATAAAGTTGGTGCTTAATAATGACGTGGTCAGTTCTCCTCCACACACTTAAACTATTCCACTTTAAAATGGTCTCCACTTGTTTACTCACACATTGATGAGTGGATGAATGATCGGATGAGAAGTTGCTACCACACTACCAAGCACCATACCACGCATACTCGTATCCCTTCAATTTGGTGCTTGGTACCAAGCATACCCGTTTTAGTACCAAGCATAAGTTTTGTGCTTAGTAGTGAGGTGGCATATTCCCTTCCACTTATTCAAATAGGGGCCCACATTCACATGAGTTTGGGAGTGATTGTGAATGAGAATGAGTAGATGGGAATATGACATCTCACTATCAAGTATAAAATTTGTGTTTGATACCAAACATACCCATCTCTCTCTCTCTCTCTCTCTTTCTCTCTCTCTCTCTCTCTCTCTCTCTATATATATATATATATATATATATATATATATAAAGAGAGAGAGAGAGAAATTCAATATTGATATGACATTCTTTTGTGTGTAGCTCAAAGAAAATTTTCTTCATTCATGAAAATGAATTTTCTTCGTTCATGAAAGTAAATTCAATGATGGTGGACAAACCATCATTTCCAATTATTTTAGAAAGGGTAAGATTGTAATTTTACAATGCAACATTTTTTTTCTCGTTTCTATTTTGTTTCTTCCTACAACATTCCACCTAATTTTACAAGGAATGATTCATTTATCTTTTTTATTTCTTTTCTTTCTAGAACAACATTCTATGTTATTCAAATAGCATGAAAGAAGATGAAGCATACATAAGTGAATATCTTTTTAATATTTTATGTTATAAAAGAAACAAAGAGAATAAATATCTATCAATAAAAAGACAAGGTTCTAAGCATATATCTATACTACAAATTATTTACACTAATATACAAAGAAAATAATGTGGGTGAGATAATTGGTAGAGGATTTCAAGTTCAAAACTTCGAATAATGAAAGATAACAGCTCTCAAAGAATCAATTGACCCCCACTATTTCTTCCTACTATTGAATATACATTCTAAACAAAATAAAAATAAAATGTTTACATATCATGTGCATTTGCACACGTCAGATTTCTAGTAGTCATGATAGTACTCTTGCAGATGCAAATTATGAGTTTCCCCAGTTAATTTCATATTTCAAAACCCTAGCCGCCAAAACCCTAGCCGCTTTCTTCAAAACTCCAACCGCCAAAACCTTGCAACCGCCTTATCGTCCCCATCTTTCTCGTCATCGCCATCGTCATCGCCCTCATCTTCCTCGACAACTCCTCGTTCACGTCCATCTGATCCACATCCTCGTCTTCGAGCTTCTCACCCGACGCAACAACTTCCACCCTACACCGCTCGTCGTTGATGACCGCCGCCATCATGAGGCCTTCGCTCGTCAACAACTTCCACCCTACACCGCTCGTCGTTGATGACCGCCGCCATCATGAGGCCTTCGCTCGCTCGTCGGCGCCATGCCCGCCGCTCTCTTTTTGTTTTCGAATCTGAATCAGATCTGCGAGTTGTCCTATAAATAAAAAAAACACCTCCGGGTTCCATCTTAACCTTCGGGTTCTTGATCTTTAACCTTCGGGTTTCATGTTAACCTTCGGGTTCTGGCACTTTAACCTTCGGGTTTAAAATTAAACCTTCATGTTCATGTTCTTGGACTTGTTCAGCCTACTGGCTAATTCAAGACTTATTTTCTTAAACTTGGACATACTTTAATTGTTTCCATTTTGGAGTACAACTTGTGGAGGGTATTGTCTTGAACTCTACTCGTTTGTTTCATGATAGCCGGATCTGAGAAACTCAAGAATTCTGAGTTAACAGTCCAGACAAAAGTTTCGGAGATATTTTCTGGTAGAATCACTGACCGAAAACTTGATGGAATTAACTATTTCCAGTGATAACGTGTTATTGAAATCTACGTGGCAGGCCGAGGTAAAACTGACCATTTGTTGACAGACTCTCCTACTCTGACACCAGAATCTTGGACATTGGACGATAGTGTCCTCTTACATTAACTTCTTAATACTATGGAACCTAAAATTTAGGATTTAGTTCTTCATTGTATGACAGTGAAGAAACTTTGATGTTTTTTACAAGATCTCTATAGGGGTAACAGCAATATTAATCGGGCACATGAAGTAATTCCAAAAGCTGTTTCGTAAGAAACAGGATGGTAAATTCATGGATGATCACTATGATGAGAGTTCAATCGTCTGGCTGAGGAACTTCGTCAAATTTTTCTATTACTGGGGATGTAAAACAAATACAGAACCAATGGAACAAACTTATAGTACTCACCTACTTGGGCACCCTAAATTCCATTCTCCTCTGCTCAACCACAAATCTTGGGGAGCTCCGTCATTAGTTCTCTGGCTGAGACTTATTACTTTCTGAAGAACCCTGTCCCTATACAGCCACTCACATCCATTACGGATCGCTCTATACTTACCACTCAGAGTTGACAGTCTAATGAACGAGGAAGTCATATTGGTGGTCCTGGAAGAGGTAAACTTTGAAGGGAGATGAGGTTAGCACACTGGTCGTTCTAAAGGCCGAGGTGACCAACGAGGTGGCCGTGGAGGTTCATCTCAAGGCAGACATGCTCATGACGATGACTCAGTGAAGACTTGTAATTACTACCACCAGCTAGGACATCTCAAATATAATTGTCCTGAATTAGAAAAAAAGAAGGCCAATAGTGCTTACATGACTGCTTAGGACAACCTCACTTCATCTGATAATAAAATTCAACCACGGTTACTCTTCCATGATGCGGAACTACAACGTCAATTTCACCAATTTAATTATTTTAGCAACACCAAAGTTCACAAACATCGTCTTTTTTTTTATCCGCTACTCTCAAAAGTACAGGTACCCCTTTATCTTTACTTACATCGTCTTTATCTCATACTTGGATTATAGATACAAGTGCACTGATCATATGACTGGGAACCAATGTATCATGTCATCTTTCTCTCCTATATCTAATTCAGTTATATTAGCTGATGGTTCACGTCTATGTTACACGGGTACTTCTATAATGAAGCCGTACCCGTACCGGACACGTACCCGATACTTTCCCGTACCCAAACTTCATGGACACTTCTTGAATATATGCATGCATTTATTACAACATGTACTCAATTATATGATATATGTGTTAATTTAAAACACTTGTCAAAGACTTCCTGGACGTAGAGCTTACACTTCACATCCGTCTTTTGAAACTAATGAAATACAGGTCGGGTTCGTTTCAGTCCATACCTAAGTTTAAAACTATATAGTTAATGGGTCGTTTACATGTCTAGTAAAAAAAAAAGTAGTTTACAATTCACGATAATCAATATGATAAAAGAAACTCAAAAATATGATCGGAATTTTAATTCTAATAACACATGAAGGGGAAAAATTTATCTTCTGTACAGTATTAATTCAATATATGTAGTCGTGTCCCCGTACCCTACATTTTACAGTTTTGCTGTGTCCCGCACCCGCACCCGCACCCGTACCAGTACCAGTACTCGTGCCCGTTTCCATGCAACTTAGGTTCACGTACACCTGTTCAGTGTGTCGGCAACACCAATCCTACCACGAGTCTTCCTCTTTTCTATGTATTCTATCTTCCTAGTTTTTCCTATAACCTTTTATCTGTTAGTAAGATTACTAAATTACTAAACTATATTGTGCTATTCTTTCCCACACATTGTGTCTTTCGGGACCTGATCACGAGGAAAACGATTGGGATAGATCATGAGCAGAACGGCCATTATAAACTGGACTTGGGCGCCAAACATGTAGCTTGTATCTAAAACCCATCAGCTCTACAATTTCACTGTCAGCTAGAGCATCTCTCTCTGTTCTCAAGCTTCTAATCCTCAATTCAAACATTTCCTCATTAGAGTGTGAGTCGTGTCAACTTGGCAAACAACATCGTGTCTTATCCTAATCGAGTCAATAAGAAGGCTGCTAAACCATTTGATCTTGTTCATTCTAATATCTGGGGTCATGCCCAATAACTTCTAAATTGGGATTCGATATTTTATCAGTTTTGTGAATGATCACTCTCGTGTTACTTGGATTTATCTTCTCAAGTCTAGATCTGAAGTCTTTTTTACTTTTAAACTCTTATTCTGAAATAGTCAATCAATTCAAGACTTCGATAAAAAAATTTCGATCTGATAATGCAAAGGAATATTTGGATGGCGACTTCACTAGTTTTCTTGAATAATATGGAATCTTTCGTCAGTCTTCTTGTGTTTACACTCCTCAGCAAAATAGAGTTGCTAAACGAAAGAATAGACATCTCCTTGATATTGCTCGGACCTTGTTATTCCATCGCGGCATTCCCAAAGAATTTTGAGGGGAAACTATCTTAACAGCATGTTACTTGATTAATCGAATGTCTTTTTCTGTTCTGCAAGATAAAATTCCTTTCAAAGTTCTATATCCCAACGATGATCTCTTTCCACTTCCTCCAAAGATTTTTAGCGATGATCTCTTTCCGC